TCCCTAACTCATAATGAGATACTTATGTATAATATTTAGCCACTTGTATCTGCTCATCTTAAAACTTGCCAAGATGAAATTAAGCAAAACGAATTAATTCATATACCTTCTTGTGAAAAGGTTTTGACTGATGTTATGGACAATAGTATTCATGAGTAAATATAAAGAAATAGTGTTTTTTTTTATTTTATTTTATTTTATTGTTAATGAATTTCATTAGAGACAAAGATGGCATAAGGAAATGTCTTAATACATATGATATACGATTAACAGAAGAGACATATCCTAATTGTGGATTAACATGGCCCTATGAATTAGAAGAGGTGACAAAGTATTTACGTGTAAGGAACATATACATATATATATATATATATATATATATATGTATACTATTTTATGTACATGTAAATGGTCTCATGTTTCCTGTTGTAGCAAAGTGAAGTGAAAAAAGCAATTCATGCCGAAAAGCAAATCTTGGGATGGAAAGAATGTACTGCATTAGTATCAAGTGAATTTAATGGGGATCAAAGTAAACCTTCATATTATGTAAGTATATACAAATACAAATGTATATTCATATATATATATATGTGTGTGTGTGTGTGCGCATTTTCATTCGCATTTTAACGATTTTTGCTGGATAGTTATTACCTGATATTTTAAAGGAAATACAAGTTTTGTTGTTTAGTGGAGAATATGATTTGATTTGTAATTATATTGGTACAGAATATTTAATTGGTAATATGACTTGGAATGGATCAAGAGGTTTCAGTAATACGACCGTGAAAGAAAGTTGGAAGATAGACAATAGAATAGCAGGCTATTATACTCAAGAACGAAATTTGACTTATGTATTCATTAAAGATGGAAGTCATATGGTACCATATGATCGACCGATAGAGACACTTGACATGATCAATCGATTTATGAATGTAGGTGATGGTAAAGTTAAAGGTAAAAAGAGTCAAGTGGGTGAACAGGAAGCTGTGGTAAAGATACCTTCACCTCCTCCTCTTAAAGATGAAAAGCACGATAATAATACATCAACAAATCAGAACCAAAAAGAAGAAAGTGAGTCTTCTCCTCCTGTTTGGAATACAACGGTCTTCATAGGTGCTTTCTTGTTTGGCCTTTCTTTATGTTGTTTCTGCTGGATTCGTAATAATAATAATAAAAGATCATCGGGATCTGCAGCTGTAGAATTTGGGGGAGCTCCTCGGCGTCAACATGAAGGTGTTAAAAGACCTACTAAAAATACTATCTGGAGTTTTATTCGCCACGTGTTTAGTAAACATGCTGAGGAACGAAAAAATTTTCGCTTGGATGATAATGATGAATCCAATGAATTGTAAGGATTTAATACATTTATATTTTAAAAGGAGAAAAAAAAAAACTAATCATTATTTTTGGTTTTATTAGGGATGAATTGGTTATTGAAACACCTACTCTATTTGAAGCTGAATCGTTATCTGATAGCGATGATCAGCATGAGCCACTAGAGAATCAAACAAGACATCAACAAAGTCGTAGTAATAAAGCTTTAACGCAACATTTCTCACTTTCGGATGAAGAGGAAGATGATGATTTTACTGACTTTGACGATGAAGAAGTGTATGTAGCTAATAAGTAAATAGACTAGATATATAAAATGCATTTTATTATTAATATAATAATAAAATTTGATATAAAAGTTAAGATAAGAAAATTAGTTATTTAAACATGTTTCATGACTTTTCAGAAGTAGTTATTTTCTTGATCTTTGATATAAAAGAATTGAATTTTGAAAACAGAGGAGTAGTAGTAAAGAAGAGAGGATGATCAAGTGATTGCTTTTTGATACGAGCTTCGTCATTAGAAAGTAACATAGTAGACATGGCTTTGTCTTGTTCTTTTAACAATGGTGGAGACGGAGAATTAAAAGAGAATGGAGAAGACCTAGAAGAAAGATATTGTTCTATAATGAAGCTGTCTTCTTCTTCATCATCACTTGACATAATCGAAGTATTTCGTATTGATGAATGAAGGTGAGTTGATAGATCTCTAACATGAAAGGGAGATAGTAGTAGATCATTATCCTGAGGGCTTAACATTTCCTCCTGCCATGAATGAACAACGGGTAATTTCTTATTAGGTGCATTATAGAGTTTGGGTGTAGGTGAAGCAGAAGGGAAGACGACAGGAGAAGGAGAATTAAAAAACGATTTACAGGTTGATAATGATTCATTATTCAAAGAGGAAAGAAATGAAATGAAATGAAATGAAATGAAAGAAAAGGCATTTTCATTATTGAAGAGAAAAAGTCATTTGAGCATGTAGCAAGTAGTACATAAAAGATATTTGTATTACTCTGTTATGGAAGAGCATGTGTGTCCTTAAATTTATAAACGTCAATCATGTAACATACATCATTATTACTACAAAAAAATAGATGCATTTATAAATGTATATATTAAAGTAAAGATGCTATTACATAGTTGTTTAATTGAATAACATGTTATTTTTTTTAAAGAAAAAAAGTCTTTATACTACTACTAACTACTACTAACTACTACAAAAAAAAAGAAACCTTATCATGATGAGGTGCTATGCAATTAAATTCAAAATTAGTAAATAAAAGGAGATGCTGTGTAACTTTTATTAAAATCCTTGCATTTGTCTGCACAGACCTTTTTTATTTTATTTATAGTAACAATGATAATCAAATGAATTCTTACCTCCCTTTTGTATATCAAGTTTACTTCAGAAAATTTTATTAATATGAAAATATGAAACAAATATGACAAGTTTCATTTTATAGATATAAATAAATAATTAAATGAATTTATTATTCCATTATTATTGCTAACTTGAAAAAGAGAAAAGTCTGTTGATTTTAATCAAAAAAAAAAATCCTCTTTAGTTATCGTTATTATAAATATGAATGCTTGAAAGAAAGAAAAAAGAAAAAGACGGTGAGCGAATAAAAAAGGGACAGGGAGTAAAGAAAGGTAGCATAAAGTAGAGTATAATTATAGCCTAGTTGAGATTGCTTATAAATTTATAATTATAGCCTACTTGATTGCTTATAAATTTCTAATTATTTATTTTATTGTAACTAATATTCAGCTAAATAGAATTGCTGCCCACTTTTATATATAATAAATTGACTTTATTATTAATTATGTCAAACTTCCTTTGTTGTTGTCAAACTACTATCCAGTGTATAATTACATTCTTTTCCCCTCCCCCACTTCTCCCCGCGTATATTCCTTTCTTATTTTATTCATTTTTTAAAGGGAGAGTTTTTTTTTTTTTTCTTCTTTTTTTTTCTATTTTTTTCTTTTTTTTTTATTTTTATAAAAATGTATAACATTATACTTCTACTTTGTTATAACTTCGCGTTTAAATTAGCGATTTATTCTAGATTTTAACTTTAAACGCGATAAAAACTTGTTATCTATTCTCACGAATTTATAACGGACGGTAGTTTCTTTATATGCATGCATTCTATTTTATTGAAACAAACCCTTCTATTATAACTTATTTATGCATATGTATAATCTAAATAAAAGAAGGTATGTTTCAAGCGCTCACTTTAAGAAAGAAGGTAAAAAAAAAAAAAAAAAAAAAAAATTCCGCTAAAAAAAAATAAAGAAATTATCCTGTAGTTAAATACTCCAATAATCAACATGAATTTTATTACTCATAAAGGAAGTAACAAGGAAAACAAAAAGAAAAAGAAAAGAGGCAAATGGGTTCATACTTTCATTTTTAATAATAATGACTACTCATCTGGCTTAATAATTTTCATAGATTTTTCCAGATATATAATGCTTCTTTAATCAAGGAGATCTTATCTTCCTGCATATAAAATGTTAGTTATTTATACAAACTACTACTACTACTAACATAAAAATCAATCTAATATGTAACTTATCAAAACAAATATTTTTTCCCCTCTACTACATATAAAGTATTTAGTAAATAAATAAATACATATAATTTTTTTTAAATTATTTTAAGCTCTAATATTTATTGGCTACTCTCTTTGCCTGCCCTGCAAGCATATAAAAATATCGAATGTTAATAAAATAAAATTAATTCCGTTTAAAGACAAAACTATACTTGTTTATTAGAAAATGGAACAAGAAAGCAGTAAACTATTTCCTCATAAATTATTCAGTTTATCGATTTTTTTTCTTATAATTCATACAGCAAATGAAAAAAGAGAGAATTCGTTTTTAGAAAAAAAAATACTATTGTCCATTAATTAACTTTTGATTGAACGAAGTTACTTTAGATAGCAAATTAATTTCTCAGATTTGAAGTTTCATACACAGAGAGCCACCACCCTTTTCTTTTTCTTTTCTTTTCCTTTTTTTTATTTTACAGAAAATAAAATAAAAATAATCTGTCTTCAAAACTTCGAAAAAAAAGACTTATGCTATATAAATAATAGATCGCCATTCTATTATATAGAGTTTATTGTAATCAAACAGTAGCTACTTCTATTATCCTTTTTTTTTAAAAAAAAAACTCGTTAACTTGTTAAAATCATACATTCTCTTATGTTCATAATTACTAGCAGTAACTTTCTTTTTTTGACTAATATATAATTTTTTACCATTAAAAGAAGTATAAAAAAGCAAGTGACAGATAATTTGTCTCAGATTGAATATCAAACCAGGAAAATTCATGTAAAATTCATACTGATTGGATTTTATTCTATTCACGGGGATTGTAGTTGAGTTTTTTTTTTTTTTTTCTTACTAAAAAAAAGGAATTTTACTCATTTTTTTTTCGCTGAGTTTAATTCAATGTACTAAACATAAAATGATCTCTTAAACAAAAAACACTAAATTGAATATAAACTCTTCTGGTTACTTTTTAGTATTTATACACACCGTAGATATATTTTATATACACACACATACATATATATATATATATATATATATGTCTATATATATATGTAATTTTTTTTTTTCATTCTCTTTTCTTTTCTTTTTTTCTCTTTTCTTTTTTTTTTATATATCTGTTTTTTTATATTAGAATTGAATAGATTCCTCTTCACTAATTATTTGGATATATTATCTCTATTCATTCCATATTCTATACCTTTTAAACGAAAAAAATAAAAGAACAAGAAAACAAAAATTTATATATTTATATATACACACATATATACCTTATTCTATATATACAGAGAAAATGAATCCTTCTTCTGAAACAATATTAAACCAAAATACAGAGAATCAAAATATGAATCTCGAAAATCATCACTCATATGTAAGAAAGAGAACAAGAGCTACAGCTGAACAACTTGCAGTACTTGAAGATACATTTGCAGTCAATGTGAGTCCAAATAGTAAACTTAGAAAGCAACTCGCTGAACAATTGAATATGAGTGAAAGATCAATTCAAATTTGGTTCCAAAATAGACGCGCCAAAGTGAAACACATGCAAAAGAGAGCACAGATGCAAATGCAACAAGCTGCTATGAGAGCTCAATTATATCATTATCATCAACAACAACAACAACAACAACAACAATATAGTATGATGTCGGCTTATGGACCTCCTGCTCCTCCTCCTCCTCCTCCTATGCTTCCTTTACAACCTTCTCTTTATTCACCACATCATCCTCAACAACCTACACCTCAACAGCCCTTTTATTTCTCTCCTGCTTATCTTCGTCGAATTCCACCTTTACCTCGTGCTCAAAGTGTGGATGCAGTCGCGTATTATGGTAGTCCATCGGCCGATATCTCAGCTCGTTCCTCTTTTCCAACTACTGTACCTGAACCCTTTATGCCTCACGAAAGTCTTACACCTTCACCTCCTCATCTGAATCAGTCCTATTCCATCTCGAATGGTGCCCCTGGTACTTGGTCTGTACCACCACCTAACTATCATCTCTTTGACAACGCTTCTTCTCCTATTAAACTTTCAAGACAGAGTATGCCACCTTATAATCCATTATCACATACATTCATGGATGACGTGATGACTCCATCTGAATTTACTTCTTCACATCCTAATACCGAGAATTCTAATTCAAAGCAAATCTTATCCGAAGATTTCCCTGATTTCGTACACGGTCAAATCTCTCCTTCTCCTAGTCCTAATCACGATGATAATCCTCATTCTGCTTCTTATTTTTCTCCTACAAAGGATGATTCCCTTTCAAATTTAAATGTTAAATCAACAGAGGAGGAAGGTATGAAAGGTAGCGATGATTCATTTGATGATAAAAAAGTATCAGAAGACCCAACTGCTGCACTAACAGAAACAGATATGTGGATCTCTTCTCCAAGTATGTATTGTATTGTATTTTATTTTATTTAATTTATTCATCTATTTATATAATACTTATATATACATGTTTATATTTATACATATATAGATATCGAATCTCGTTCGGCTGAATCTATTGTAGATAATGTAACATCTTCATCTTCTATTCCTACTGTTGAAAATAAACCTTCTGAAGAAGAGCCTACTGTAAATCCATCCAACTTAATAATGACCACGACGACTACAGATAATTCTCCTACACTAGAAAATGAAGACATAACTCAAGAACAACACTTGAATGCGACAACACTCACCATTGGTACATGGCATCGACTTAAACTTCAATCTTCAGATTTAATTTGTCTCTATAAATTTGAACAAAGGACTTTATATGGTATATCGCAGAAGGTGGAAGTCGTTTTAAAGTAGAGGTGCCCATCTCGAATATCGTTAGTATCGAATTCACGCCATCCTCCTTGGCGGCGACTGGTGTTGGTGAGGCTATAACCTCTGATATTCATTTCTATATTACCCAACCTCCCCTCTTTTATATGGAAACTAGAAAAGAAAAGGATGAAAAAGAATGGATTCAATGCAGTGATTTTACAGAGAACAAACAAGCTTCAAGGTATCTTCGTCATACCTTGAAGGGTCCACAATTAAAGCAAGACTTGATACAATTAATGAATAAACGGGAAGAATTACGCAAGTTGATTCGTTTTTTGGATGAACAAACAACTACTGCAGCAACAGCAACAACAGCAGCATCCGCCTCAGCAACAACAGTGACACCACTTTTACCATCACAACAACAACAAGCAACAATGATTGTTCCTTCTGCTGCTGCCGCTGCTACTACTACCACTACTACTAATACTATCTCTACTACAACTAATTATTATCCTTATTATTATTATCCTTCAGGCTTAAATGTCACTACACCCATGTCACTTTCATTAAATGGTAATCCTTCTTCTATCATGGCTAATACTGAACAACCACCAGTACCATGTGGAGGATTTTATTCTTAAATAATTGTTATTTTTATATATGTATTCACTTTTTTTTTCTTTCTTCCTTAAAATAATAAACTGTAACTCATTATTATTATTATTATTGTTGTTGTTATTTCTCAAATAAAATAAAAAAAAAAGCTATGTGGCTTTTTTTTATTATTGATAGATCATATTTTCTTTCTTCTAAAATAATCATAAAATCCACCTTTCCGTTGCTGTAAATGATTTTATTGACAGATAAGGTTAAAATTCATTTAGACATTGGTTTCATATTTCGTAAGTTCAAAAAGAAAAAAAAAAAAAAAAAAGACATTGAAATGGAGCTATTATTGAAAAAAAAAAAAAAAAAAAAAAAAAAAAAGAAAAAACCATTCACAAGAGGTTATTATTATTGAAGAGTCTGTTTTATATAAACTACTCGATGTCAAAAAAAAAAAAAAAAAAGTCAATGAATATCTATTCATATTTGTTACTGATAAAGAAGATCTTTTTTTTTTATTTATTTATTTAAATATGTATCTTAAAAATAAACTTTGTTGAGAAACATCCTCTTGAAATTAGAAGCTGCAGTAGCTGCAGCAGCTGCAGCAGCCCTGTCTATTTTTTTTTTTTTTTTTTTTTTTTTTTTCGTTTTATACATGTGTATGTATAATAATGCCCTATACTATTACTAATGCCGCTAATAATAATGATAATAATAAAATTAACATTATTGTTCGTGTCTCTCTTATCCATACTATAGATAGAGATGTGCATTAGTAAGTTGGTGACTTTCTTAGTAAAATCTGCTTCTTTTAGTACAATTTGCCTTAACAAAAAAAAAAAAAAGTTCATACTTTTATCGTCTTGTTGGTCATGATTGAGCTCCCTTTTTTGTTTTTTTTTCACTATTGATATTATAATGCTTTATAATAATAATAATAATAAAATGTTTTTTTTTCTTTCTTTACTATTTCCACTTCCTAATTATGCTTTATACACATATTTACACCTTCCATCCCTTTGTTTTTTTTTCTAACTTTTCATCAATTCGTTCTTTATTATGTTGAATTTAATCATGCTTGACATTAAACTGAAGATCTTAATCCTAGTCTTTCTTTACAACGACAACAAAAGAAAATTATTTACATTGTTCAATAGAGATCTTTTATATATATCTATATGTATATAGATAAGTGTTGTTTGTATTTTATTTATAGCGAAAAAGAATTCTAAATTCTGAAAAGATTATGAAAATTTCTTCTTTCCTTATGAATAATGTTTTTTTTTTGTTAAAATGAGAAGAGAATATTAATTGGTATTAAATGCTATGTATACATATATATATATATATATATATATAGCTTGTTATATATCTTTAACCATGTATGCTAAATAGTTTACACTAGTAAAGCAATTTCTTGCATACAACTTGTGAAAATAAAAAAAAAAAAAAAAAAAAAAAAAACTTCAGGTCATTTTTTTGTTCAAAAATAAAGTCACGATGTACGTGTGTGTGTGTGTGTGTGTGTGTGTCTCTGACAATTATCTGCTGTTATTGTACGTTGAGTAGAGTGAATACTATTTCCTGCTGATTATTAGTACCGATATACAACTTTTTTTTTCCTTACCAACTATTATAAATACATATTATGTTATTTGATAAAGAAGATGAGAATGGTTCATTAAACAATAACTATTATAATCATACTTTACATCCAATGTATACTAATGGACCTACACCTTTTAATACCTCACCTGCATCGTCACCATCTGTTGGTAACTATGCAATGTCATTGTATGGAACTAACAATACCACTACCCATGGTAATTAATAATAATAATAATAATAATAATAATAACAATAACAATAATCGATACCCCACCCATTTACAACAACAACAGCAACAGCAACAACAACAACAATCTTTATCTAATGACTTGACCGTTGCTATTGCTCCATCTTCGACCACAGCTACTCCTCATCTAGCTCGACAATTAAGCTATGCTCAGATTTCTCGACAATCTTCATCACCTCACCATCATGCTCGTGCAGCAGCAGCTATGGCACGTAATACACCTGTTTCCTCTACCATTACCATTACGGATCCTAATGATCCTAACCGACCTGTTGCTACTAGAGGAGGGGGACAACATCATCTTATAAAGGGAACAGAAGAAGAAGAAGAAGAGGTAGAACATGTTTGGACCTCACTTGACCTGGGCGGGATGGGATTGAAGAATATTTCAAGTGCACTTTATACCTATCGTTTCCTCACTTGCCTCTATCTCAACCATAATAATTTAACCTATCTGATGCCTGAACTCTCTCAATTAACACAACTCAAGACCCTGGATGTCTCTGGCAACAACCTCACCCTCCTTCCACCTGAACTTGGACTTTTATATAATCTAAGGGAATTGCTCTTATTTGATAATCGGATCGTGACGTTACCTCATGAACTAGGTAACTTGTATCAATTAGAGACACTTGGATTAGAAGGCAATCCACTTCAAGCTGACTTGAAGACGATTTTAATCAAGGATGGAACTCAAGCTTTGATTCTATCACTTCGAGAAAATGCACCTGGTAAGTGAAAAGAAAGAAAGAAAGAAAGAGAGCATATCATCTAATTATTATTATTATTACTAGTTGGTATACCTCCTCCTCATAGAGAATGGTTATTAATAGAAGGAGATACGTTAGAAGATCCAGGTTAGGGAAATCTGATGATAACACACATTCACTTACTTACTTACTTACTTACTCATGCTGTATATAATAATAGATAAATTTACTGTCTTGTGTTACAATATTCTTTGCCAGAAATATGCAACAGCTCAAGCTTATGGTTACACACCATCATGGGCATTAAATTGGAATTATCGTAAAGAATTACTCGTATCCGAAATATTGAGTTACAACGCTGATGTCATTTGTCTTCAGGTAATTAGGAGAAAGAAGAAAGAAATGATAACAATAAAAAAAAAAAAAACCTATTATTATAATCTCTACTCTAGGAAATGGAAATGGGACAATATGAAGACTTTTTTAAGGAACATTTTAAAAGATGGGAGACTACGAGAGTGTGTTCTATCCAAAGACGAGAGCAAAGATTATGGTATCTGAAAGTGAAAGACGTGTAGTAGATGGATGTGCCACATTTTACAAGACAACAAAGTAAGTGAAGACTATAGTGTGTTTAAACAAAAAAAAAAAAGGGAATATACGAAAAGCATCTTTTTCTTTTTTTACATGTAAATATACATTCAGGTTTCGTTTAATTGAAAAGGAATTGATTGAATATAATCAAAAGGCACTTCAAAGACCAGACTTTAAAAAGGCACCGGATATTTATAATCGAGTCATGAATAAGGACAATATTGCTGTATTTACATTATTGGAAGATAAAGAAAGCAAAAAACGTATGATTGTAGCCAATTCACATATTCATTGGGATCCCTCAGATTCAGACGTCAAACTCGTTCAAGTAGGTATCCTTTTGGATGAACTACAGACGTTTACACACAAATATACGACAACGACACATACATTATTACCTACTGTTATTTGCGGAGATTTTAATTCTTCTACTGAATCAGGCGTTTATGAATTCTTTAGTAAAGGATCTATTCAACAAGATCATCAAGATTTTGGAAATTATTCATATGGCAAATATACCACAGAGGGGCTCTCTCATCCCTTTCAACTCAAGAGTGCATATAGTCACATAGGTGAATTACCTTTTACAAATTATACGCCTGGATTTAAAGGCGTTTTAGATTATATTTGGTATACAACCTATACATTAGATACTATTTCATTATTAGCTTCTATTGATCAAGATTATATCAGTAAAGTAGTTGGTTTCCCTAATCCTCACTTTCCTTCAGAGTAAGTATTGTGTGTGTGTGTGTTTATCAATTAGAATATCACTCTACTCACACCCTACTTTTATGTTTTTTTTTCTTTTAACCCCCCCTTTTATAGTCATATTCCTATTATGGTAGAATTAAAGTTTAAAACACAACAGAAAAAAGAAAGCATGAAAGCGACAACAGATTTCAGTTCAAAGATACTAAGGAACAATAGATTAAAATAACATCAAATAAACTTACCAAAAAAAAAAAAGAAAAGTGTGTACAACGATTTATTTAAGTCAAAAAAAAAAAAAGACAGCTTGTGTGTGTGAGAAAAGGGCTTTAAAAAATTATCCCTGATTTCTTCTTATCGTGGGAAAGGTCTTGATCTTGTATTTGTGTGTATATAAAAATAGTCTTTTTATTATTATTATTATTTGTTTCTTTTTTTTTTTCCTTCTTTTATCTTATCATGTTTAAGCTTACTCAACGTCTTGTTCGTTCTCCAACTGCTACTCATCTTATCCGTCAAGCTACTAAGCGGTAAATAGAGTCATGTATAAATATATCTATCTATCTATCTATCTATGTATATATATATATATTTATTTATTTATGATTTATACTTGAAAAATAAATACGCGATCTATCTATTAGTAATTATGCTGCTTTAACTTTTTCTGTTCCTACTGCACATGAAGCTCCTACTTCTTTACAATCCTTTACTGAAGAAGAATTGATGCTTAAGGATACTGGTATATATATATATATTTAGATAAAGAGCGAGAGTGTGTGTATATGTATGTCTTATTGATTTATTTATTTTATAGTTGCAAGATTTGCTCGTGAAGTAGTTCAACCTAAAGTTCGTGATATGGATGAAGCTGAAGTGATGGATAAAGATATCATTCAATCTATGTTTGACAATGGTGTAAAGTATATTATAATTTTTCTTAAAAAAAATCGAGTTAATAGATATTATATTAGTTAATGGGTCTTGAGACACCTAGTGAATATGGTGGCGCAGAATGTTCATTTACAGCTGCTATTTTAACTGTTGAAGAACTTGCTAAAATTGATCCTTCTATTAGTGCTTTATGTGATATTCATGTAAGTGTTGTTGTTGTTAAAGTTAAAAGTAATAGGGAAGGTGTAGCTGATACTGATAGTTATCATTAGAACACATTAACCAATACAGTCATTCGTAAATGGGCCTCTCCTGAACTCAAAGAAAAATACTTGACTCGTCTTGCTACTGAT